TCCATTTTCTCCATTTTTCACTGAACCCCATTCTCATCATCATATAATCTAAAAAACTCTAGCTTACATTGTTGTATGGCTTCTCAAAATCCACCTTAGAATAAAAGCACTCCTTGCCTCCTCTCCAAGCATCAGCAATGACTTCATTAGCTATCACTTCACTATCTGTAAATTGCCTTCCTCTAGTAAATGCCATATGATTTCCCCAATCATGTTACCTTACACTTTACGTAATCAATTGGCTAGAAGCTTTGATAAGATCTTATACATTACTCCAATAAGTGAGATTGGCTGGAAATCCTCTACACGTTTTGGATTCTCCACCTTTGGTATAAGCACCAAAAAAGATGCATTAGACCCCTTGACTAGTCTACCATTTGTTTGAAACTCTTGTATAATGCAATCACATCTCCTTTAATGGTTTGTCACATCATTTTGATGAATTTGAAATTAAATCCATCAGGTTTAGGGGATTTAGAGTTGTCACATGTCTAGATTGCTGCCTTGATCTCATCCTTTTCAAATGTCGCCATTAACATCTATGATTCAATTGAACTTAATATCATCAATTGTTGGTCTAGTCCACCCTTTATCAACAAACAACTTTTCATAATATCTTGCTACCTTTACTTTAATCTCATTCACCTCAATGCATTGTTTGCCATTAACCATGATGCTGTTAATCTCATTCTTCCTCCATTTATTCCTTATGCATATGTGAAAGAAAGCTGTGTTAGCATCCCCATCCTTCAATTAGGTTTTCTTGGCTTTCTATTGGAGCATCCTTTCTGTGATTTTTAAGTTCTTCCATAACATCTTTACATTCTCTTTTCTAGTATTCACTTCCTCTTCAATTACTTACTAATTTTCTCCTTTTAGATCTAGATCTTGAATGACCTCTTTTGCCTTTGCTATCTTTTCATCTAGCTCGGACGCATAGCCTTTGCTCCAAACCTTTAACATTTTTTTAGTATTTTTTAGTTTCTCCTTAAGATAAAAACCTTTCCATCCCTCCATGCCTCCTGTATTCCACATGCACCTTTTCCTTAAAGTCTACTCTATCAATCCAAGAATTATAAAGCCTAAAAGGTTTAGGACCCCAATCATGTTTTTGACTTTCCAACAATACAGGACAATGGTCTGATATTGAGCATTTAAACCCCCATTTTTTAACTTCACTCCAATTCCTCTGATAACAAGTACCTGTCTAATCAACTCATTGACTTCCCATTTGAATGGTACCATGTATACCTCTTACCTATTAATGGTAGATCAATTAGGCCTGCTTCTTCAATAAACTCTGAAAATTCCTTCATTTCTCTCTCTAAGTTGTTTCCCCTTGCTCTTTCTTGTGGAGATTTTACAACATTAAAGTCACCAAGAAAACACCAATTGCCTTTGTTGTCACTTACCAACTTCTTCAATTCTACCCATGGGATTCTCTTTTCTCTAATTTCACATGAAAAGTAGACATTAACAATGTTCACAGGAACTTTCTCATGTCTCCATAAACCAAATACACCTAGATATCCATCACTGGCAAATTCATTTGTTTTTGGAAAACATTTGGGTTCCACAAGCACATGAGCCTTCCTAAGTGTCCTAAAAGATGGTTTAGCAGCCCAGTCAAAACCATCCTTGCCCAATAAAGATATACAAACCCTACTATCTACACGTTTTGTCTTAGATTCTTGAATAGCTAAAAATTCAACCCTTTCTCTTTTGATCAAACCCCTAATTTCCCTTTTCTTCCCTTCACCACCAATTCCTCATATATTAACTGTTAAAATTATCATGGATGATGAATCTCACCTTTCCCTGTGCTGCTAGTTGGCCTCGTCATCAATCCTCTTCTGATTGCTCTATCCTTGTTCTCCATCACTTCAGTTTTCTTTATGACTTCTTCTTCATTGGCATCAGCTACTACCCCAACTACCTTTGCAAACTCCCATATTTCTTTTGGCCCTTTCCTCTTATTCTTGCTCAATAGAATTATGTTCCTATTTTCAATCCCGTTATTCTCCACTGAATTCCTTGCTATTTGGTTTCCTTGTCCAAAACTAAATGTTGGCAACATCGCTACTAAATTTTCCTTCTTACTTCGGCAAATTTTCTTTCTATAGATTAATGCATTTTAACAAAGCTTTGAACTTTTGTACACTACTAGGCATAATCAAGCCTTCCTCGCCTTGCTTTTTGATCTTTGCTTCTTCCCCTTGCTAATTCTCTCCACCAAGAAATCATGTGTCTCTGTGATGTTCGAGAACCAAGGGCCTTACTCTCGTCCAAATTCTCTCCTAAAGGTATTGGCCAACATTCCAATTCTATAGATGTTTTTGGAAAACAACTTAGATGCAAAATGTGGCTTTTATTTACACCTCCTTTACCGATTATTAAAAGGCTTTCCTCTTCTACCTTTCTTTCCTCCATTGTTCCAATCATTCTCATCATAACTCCATTGTTTGATTAAGACCAGTCAACTTGGCCTAGCCCACAATAGTTTGATCCATTTGGCATATTTGATGGAAAGAAATCATCCTCCGCCCACCCTTGTTTGGAAAATGATCCACCCATCTATGGGCCCATCTACCTTGATTTCTTGCTCCATGTCTATTGAGCTTCCTATGTCGTTATCATTGCTTCTCTAATTTTTCATGCGCCGCTACACTATCAAATGCCCCAATTGATGAGTTGTAGATCAAATTGATTTCATGGGAAGGATCTAAACTAATATTTTTACTGTTTTCCAATTCAAAACAAGTGCCTCCTCCCATTCAAGATCTCCTTATTTGATTCATAGACCATTCTTCACCTTCCCAATGACTCTCTTCCATGTCAACATCTTTAATGGCACTCTTCCTCTCCTCACCAAGTGCCATACCATCATCTCCTCCATCACCATCTCCAATAACACCATGACAACCTTTTGATTTATCTTCTAATGACCAAGACTCTTTATCATCGAAATTATCTTCAAAAATTAGAATGAAATATGATTTCATGTTGAACAAGTTGTTATTGGACTCCACATTTTTTATTCTATATAAGACACCATCCAACTTCAAAGTGATCATTCTAAAGATGAACTAGGAGTCGAAATAAGGAATCTTGCCACATCCATCCTCTTTTTTTTTTACTAGTATTATCATCAATAGTAATAAACTTTATGAACAAACAACCCAGAGTTGTGAAGTGTTCAACATTTCATCCATGTGCAGGCATCCTCGGACATTTCAACCAAGTGAACCTTTCACTAACTACCATTCTTGGAGACCATGTGTTGATGACCACTTAAGATTTTTTCAAAATAAATGAAAAATTAAGTGTGAAAAATATATAAAAAAAAAAGAGAGTCGCCACTCGTTCAAATTATAAGGTGAGATAAGTCACCTAAAACAGGTCTACGCCAAGATTGCGGTTTGGGGGTTCGGTTAAGAGTGAGAAAGGACATATGTGCACCTCATAATCTTTCATTTAAACACAGTTGCATACTTTAAAATTGGGGTTTTAATTCAATTTGTTCATTATGTTTATATTTGGGTCTTAATAAACAAGCTTGAAAAAAAGATAAACCAAATTGCAACATTTTTAACCTTTTGGACTAAAATGGACAAAATCAAAGACATGCATGCACAATGAACACAAGTAAAATTAAAGGGACTAGTTTGATTAAGTTTGAAATATGGAGGACTGATTTGATAAAACTCAAAACATGAAAGACTGATTTGAAAAGAATTGATACCATGGACTAAATTACTTAATCACAAAACTTTTGAGTGAAATTGAAATGAAAAAAAGATAATTTTGACTTTTGACCCAGATTAGAGGAAATTAATTAATTAAATGATTAATTTGACACTAATTAAAATTAATTAAAATTAATTAATCATGTTTATCAACTTTTTAATTAAGATCATTAAATATATCTAATAATCTCATATCAAAGTCAATAAACATGATTAATTTATTCTAATTAAAGTTAATTAATTTTATTAATCATAAGTTAAACTAATTAACCTAATTAATTAGTAAAAAATTTTACATATATATCTTTTTTACTTTTTAACCTTTTTAGTTTTTTTTTATTGGATTGGGTCGGGTTGACCCAACCCAGAAACACAACCCGTTTATCCAGACCTTGCAAAAATAGATCAAACACCGCACAAAAAAGTTAGAATCTGGAGAGAAACGAAATTGGAAATTTGGATTCATCCCATTTTTTTAATAAAAGAAGAACATTCATCAAGCAATAAACAGAAAAATCCTTGATTTTTTTTTTTAATTTTTTTGTTTCCAAGAAAGAAATACATAAACTTAACATCATATTTAAATAAAAGAACATGAAAACATCAACAGAGAAGGTAAAAACAAAGCAAACACGACGGATTTTTTAGAGGAAGACAAATCTGGATTTGATGGAAGGAATCCCACCCACGGGATCAAGCTTCCAACATTTCCTTCTCCATTTTCCCCAAAAAAAATCTTCTGTTTCAGAATTGTACCTAACAATGGCAACCGAAGATGAAATTCCTCAATCTTCCTTCTCAAACAGAGTCTCCTTCCAGCAGAAAAATCCCTCCTTTTCTCTGCCGTCGACACACACTCAAAACCAGAAGACAAATCTAACTCCCAAATCAATCAAAAGACGCCCCCAAAATCAACTCCAAAATCAACCCAAAGCAAACTCCAAAACTTCACCAACCACAGACCCCCCCTCCTCCTGTACTCTGCTTTTGAACCCAACTGATAAAACAAAATGAAATAGGAAAAAAGGCCTTGCTCTGTCAATCATCAATGATGCCAATTTTGTCTGGCATTGTTGTTTTTTTTTGTATGGCTGTAGTGTGCAGAAGGCAGGGGCATGGGATTGGGGCGTAGAGTGCAGGAGGCACAGGCTCGGTGCAGCAATAGAGGGGCGCAGGTGGCAAGGGCGGGTTCGGTGCAGCAGCAGGGGGGTTGCAAGGGCATGATTGCTGGTTTGCAGGGGGTATGATTGCCGGTGATCTAGGCGCAGAGTGCAGGCGATCTGGGCGCAGAGCAGGGAGCAGGGGCACAGGTTGGGCGCGGGCAAAGGCACAGAGTGCAGGATCAGGCGCGCAGAGGCTAGGGGTGCAGAGGGGAAAGTGCAGAGCAAGGCTGGGTGCAGGAGTAGGGAGCAGGGGTGCAGGCGCAGCATGCAGGGCTGGTGTAGCAAGTGGGCGATCTGGGCACGGGCAGAGGCCAAGGGTGCAGAGGGGAGTAGGCACGCAGGGGGTAGGGATAGGGAGTGCAGCAGCAGGGTCGGGCGCAGGAGAGGGGAGTAGGGAGGTATGATTGCCGGTGATTGCTGGGCATGTGGCTGCCGACTGGTTTGGGGAGAAAGCCAGTTCGGGAGAGAGAAAAGTAAAATACGGAAGAAGAAGGGGAAGGTTTGAGATGCCTTCCCCCCCTTTTTTTTTCCTTGGGTCTTTATGGTTCTTTGGGTTTCTTTTTTTTTTTTTTTTGGGTTTGGTATTTGGGTTTTGGGCTTGGGTAATCGTGGGTTTTAGGTTTGGGTTTGAGGCTTAAAAATTGGAATTGGGATGGTATTGGATTGAGCTAGGCTCAATATTGGGTATGGGCTGGACTTGTAAATTTGTCTTGATGAACTTCACCCCTCCAAGTTTTGAGTTTTTCAATTGAGTCCCTTGTTTTAATTTCTTTCATCTCTCTTTTCCAATTTTCTTCCCAAAAATCCCCCTTTTTGCTCCTGAACCTAACAAGAAAAACAAAGACAAAACATATGAGTTAAAATAAAAATAAAACTAAATTCTACTAAAATTTGAGTTATGACACTATGGTCGAACTTCTTCAAACCATTGACTAAGCCACTTCAATGCTGACCCCACCAAATGCTTAGTTTATCCTTATCCCCCTCTCCCAATAGCACCAACCTTTTGCCCATCGCATGAAAAGTACCCTTCCATGAAAATTTTTTCTTGTAACAATGGTATTGATTCAATAGAATGGATTGTGCCAACCATGCAACCCTCTAGCCACTCAAGGTCCTTCTATTTGGCGTTAAATTCCAAACCCATCCATGGGTTGTTTTCCTTCTTCGTTTGCCAAGTTTGTCTTTTTTCCCCTTGAACCTTTTGCTTACCTTCCAACTCTATGTACAGGTTCCTTGCTTCCTATGTTTGTTTTAGCCTTCACCACCTCTACATAACTTCTCTTCCTTTGGACCTTAGCCCCCAACAATCCATTCTCCTCCCACCTCCTTTTCTGCATTGCTTTGCTATACTTTGGTATATTGGCCTGCAACTTATACTCCCTTATTTGTATTTGGTACAATAGGCTTTTTAACTCTTTCTCATCCTTCACCTCCAAAAATTGCACAAATTTGAATCTCTTCCCTTTTATGTTTGTCTGTTGATGACTGTAGATTGCAAATACTCTACCACACTTTGCAAAAATCCTCCACATCTTGCCATAAGTCTAGTCTACCAAAGAATTAGTAAAGAAGTATGGAGTTGCTTGGTTATAAATCTTCTAGTTGTAGCCTCCGGGTCCCTTGTTAATCCACTGCTTCCTGTTATGGTCCATGTTCCCATCTATCCACCTATTCCTATCTCTACCATTGGAAAATGCTCTACTTCTGGTTGTTGTCGTGCTTGTTTCCCTCCACATGCAAACCACCTCTCTCTCTCTCTTTCTCTACCTCTCTCACTCATCTCTCTTGGACCTATGTATTATAAGAATTGGCTAAATTAACTATATTTATATTATATTTTAAATAACTAAACTGAATAATATCTAAAAATATGTTGAATCTTATGTATATATACTAATTGTTTTCCAAATGTCAATTGTTCCAATAATAATTAGAAATTCCTAAAAGTTACCACCTTTTTTTCCACGAAGGTAGGTGGATGTGATCTTGTGGCTGTTTTTTTCTAGTGGGACTGTGGGAGAAAGACTCAATCGAATCCAATTGGTAGTAGTTACAATATGGCATTAATTGAATTTGAAATTTGAATAGATTGACAACTCCAAATTTGTTGATTTCAAGTATTGTCTGCCTTTTTCTTGTAACCAAAATCGTTTCAGTTACCGATAAATTAGAAATGTAGGACAAAACGTGGAGCCAAGGCCCAAGGGGTTAGGTTGATTTCGAAGGTACCATATTCATTATATTTCATGATTACCTAATAAGGCACCTAGTTTGTTGATTCATTGGCTAAAAAAGAGCTGCATAAAGGAATTTTTTGGTGTCCTCAGTTGATATGGAATTGAAATTTAATATAGATGGTATTGTCTCTTTGAAGCATTCACAAGCAGTTGTGGTGGTTGTATGTCGAGAAAGGAATGGGGTTTTGATTAGTGGACGTTCTTTTAAGCAAGCAATAGATTCGGTGTTGATGGCAGAGGCATTAGCTCATCAAGCTACGATAGGAATGGCACTTTCTCTTGGAGTGCGTATGGCTATTTTGAGTTTGATAATTGAGCTCTAATTCAAATAGTAAAGAAAGAAATGGCTGCGCGATGTCAGATAAAACCTCTGATTCAATCTATGTGGCTACTTTCTTGTAATTTTAAATCTCGTCAGATTTTGTATATATATATCTATCTAGGCAAGCAAATAAAGTAGTTGACTAGGTAGCCAAATCTACACGTAAAGACCAATGTCCACCATACTGGGCTCACGGTCGTCCTCTTAATCTGGTGCAGTTGTTGTACTCAGATGTAAGTCATCACTACCATTCGAAAAAAAAAAAAAAAAAAAGGGCACCTAATTGGGTCTCTTGTTATTCTTTGAGAGATAGTTGCCCTTAGTACTGGACGTATAGACCTTTTATTCACTATAGAATATTTTGTTTCAAGATTCTCTTATGTATACTGTTGTTTCTACATGAATGAAAAATAAGTACAATTGCCTCTTCTCAAGAAAAAGGACGCAACAACACGAAATCAACTTAGATCATACTCTCTCCCTTGATCCCTTCTAATCTAATTTTCTCATTATTAAATTTGTTTGCTTTAATTTAGTTCTCACTTGTTAAATTTGAGTACTTTAATTTAGTTGTTTCGCTATTTTTTATAGATTTTTCTAACATATACTTTTATGATATGGGTTAAGGATATATTTATTATGTATTTTCTTTACTAAATTTTAGAAAAATTGAATAACGAAAGTAAATTTTATTTTCAAAACTAACATTATATGAAATATTTTAATTGAATACTTGATAAAACTAAAATCAATTTTTACTTTTCCCATATAAATTTATGATGAAAATGTGCAATAAATATACCATTAACCAATCATTAGAGTACATGTTAAAAAAATCTTTTTATTTATATAAGATACTAAATGTTATTATTTCAATCTTATCACTATTACCTTAGTATATTTATAAAAATAATAAAGTCTTTATTAAGGATAAATGTGTTATTTTAATACATAATTATAAAGTTTTAACTTATTTCTTAATTGTCTAGATATGTATAAAATTAAAAAGTGAGAACTAAAATTAAAGGATGAAGTATAGGGGTGGGTAAATCCGGTTTCAGTTAATTGAAACCGGTTTTAAAATAGCCAAAAAAAAAAATTTCTTCAATTTTGAGAATTGAAACTAAATCAAAATTTTCACAAAATCGATCGGTTTAATTACCAATAAAAGCAGTTTGGTTTTGGTTTTTGATAAATAAATATTAATAAATTATTTTTCTAATAATAGATTATATTTTATTATATTTTGTCATATTTTGTCATATTTATCTTATTTTTGGTTTTCAGGGGGCTTAATTTCGGTTTTTGATTTTTAAAAGGCTTAACCAAAACCGAATCAAAACTTACTCAAGTAACATCAAAATCAAAAAAATAAAAATAATAAATTGTTAAAATCGAACCGAATTCATTTTTTTGGTTCGATTTTCAAGTAATCCATCGGTTCGGTTTCAAATGCCTAGCCCTAATGAAGTATTGATCTCAATTCTCAAAATGGATGTATTTTGAAAATTCTAAGTAGTAAACTCAAATGTCTATTGCCCTAATTATGGTTAAATAGGTTTATTGCATTTGTTCAAAATTCTTCAATTATTTTTGGATTTTAATGAAAATGAATTCTTTCACCTATGCCCTAAAGATCCATTTATTTAACTTTTTTTTTTTTTTATCATTGACTCATTTGAAAAAAATAATAAAAATTAAATTTAGTTTTATCAATGGTCAAACTTAACTAAAATATTTCATGTGACATTAGTATTAAAAATAAAGTTTACTTTTATAATTTTTGATACAAATTAATGGTGAAAATGTGTAATAATTTTATCCTTGCAAGTTAAACAAAATCCTATTGAAAATTAGAGAGCCCGATGCTTATGCTGAATCTAATAACTTAAAGAAAATGAAATGAGAAAGGATGTAAATAAGATTGTTAATTTTGTATTTTTTTGTAAATGTTAAATTTATTAGTTTCTAAATAAAGATACTGCTTTTTAATTTTTTTTATCTAAGAATGTAAACTTTCAATATTTTAGTTAAAAACTCAGTTTATCACATCAACGTCGTCATCCACTTTAATGACAAAGTTTCATTCCCCTAAGATTTTGGAAAAAAATTAATATATTTAATTTTTTTTCGGTAGTTTTCATATTTATTTCATTGTTAAAAAGCAATTACATTTTTTATATTGCTAAAATTTATATGTAATGTAAGCATGGAAAGCTCCTTATGCAGTATTTGGACATGCCAATTAGCGCATGTTTGAGCAGAAGAAGCACATGGCCAACATTGGTGGAGAAATTTGAGAAAAAACTGTCTAGGTGGAAAAACAGATTTCTATCTATGGGTGGTAGGATTGTTTGTATCAATTCTGTGCTTACAAGTCTTCCTGTGTTCCTAATGTCTGCTCTCTTGATTCCAGTAGGCGTAATAAAGAGGATTGATTCAATCAGGCAGGCTTTTCTATAAGGGGGTTGTGAGTTGGGGAAAAAAATAGCTTGGGTTGGGTGGGAGAAAATTTGCAACAACAAAGAAGATGGGGGGTTGGGAATTAAAGAACTTAAGAGATTTAACTTGGCTTTACTAGGGAAATGGTGGGGTAGACTTGCATACGAGAGTGTGGGGTTATGGAAAAAGGTCCTGAGTGCAAAATACAACAGGGAGGGGGGCAACTGGAGTAGTTGGATGAGGGAAGGGGGTGAGGGAGGGTCACGGTGGTGGAGAGACATTAGTAGTATAAATTGGGTGTTAGACAAGAAAGTAGATTGGTTAAAGGCTAGTTTCAAAATTATATTAGGTGAGAGAAAAAATGTTTCCTTTTGGCAATGATAAGTGGACTGGAGATGATAGTTTGAGGGACTTGTTCCCAAAACTTTTTTCTTTGTCTACAGATAAATGGAGCTCAGTTCACCAAATGGGCTATTGGATTGGAAATTCATGGAGTTGGAATCTAAGATGGAGGCAATTACACACATGGGAGGAAAGCCAAGTGGAAAATCTACAGCACATATTAAACTCTAACGATCCAAAGAAGACAATGGAGGACAGGTGGTGCTGGATACATGAAAAGATGGTCACTATTCCGTCAGATTTGCTTATAGGCTGTTTGTTGGAGATTTTAATTAAAAATTACAAATCCTGTAATATCCCAAATTTTCGGAAATTTTATCATTTAAGTTAGGGATTTGATTGTGAAAAAAGATTGTTTTGGGGCCTAATGTGAATATTCTGAAAGTTGAGGGACTTAAAGAGGGAAAGATTTTGGATAAGGATGACTTCTTTTCTTTTCTCCTTTTTCTTTCTTTCTTTTCTTCTTCTTCCCCGCGTGTTCTGCTCTGTCTTCCCGCTGCAGCCGCCCGAAGAAAAAAAAAGGGGAACCCAGCCAGCCTTGAGAAACCGGTGAGATAAGCTTGGTTTTCTCCTTCCTTTCTTGCTCTAGAACACACCTAGAACCCAGAAATCTTCCCCCCCTGCTGGAAAATCCCGAATCTGCTCTGTCTTTCCTCCCCTGTCCGCCGGCTGCTCTTGCTTGTGGGTGTGATTTTCGGTCCTTCTTGGTAAGAAGCAGCCATGAATTCATCTCTTTAGCTTTGAATTACCTTGGGTTTACCTTAATTGCTCTTGATTTCTCCAACTTTTGAGGTAGGCCGTGAGTTTCTCCCTTGCACTGCCGTCGGCCTCTTCCCCCCTGTAGCTCCGGTTTCTACAGCTGGAGAATTATGGTATGTGACAGCCTTTTAAGGCTTAAATTATCCATTTAAAGTTGCTGCTTGTGATGTCCGAATTTGGCTAGGAAATGGGGAAATTCCGGTAGCAATTAAGGGGGATTTAAGTGTGTTTGTTGCTTAATTCAAGTGAGATTTATATGATTGAGTGTTAATTGCTTGTTGTGATTTTTGGAGAGAAAATCCCGTGAATTAGCTAGTGTTTTGGCCAATTTGTGGAAGTAGAGTTACTGTTCACGTCGGGGTCACTGTTCACCGGCATTGTTCACCGGTTACTGTTCACACCCCGAGGGCCAACAATTAACGGGGATTTAAATGATTAGTTTGTGATATGAGAACGAATTTGGAGATATTTGATTATGTGAAGATTGATAAGAATTAGTATCGTGATCAAGGAGTCTTAATGATGATTTCAGCTTGAATTTGTGATAGTCAAGTATTAATTCTGTGGATATTTTGATTAGGTTCTTGATTGTTCTGTCAGTTTAGTACGTGACTTGAGTGCTCGGTTTTGCGAAGTAAGGTAAGTAAATTTATGGTAATGCCCGTATTGTTTTAAAAGCATGTTTTGATTTGTTTTTGAAGTGGTGGCGGGACTAAACCCGTTTTACACAAGTATGACTGATTTGAAGTGAAATGTTTTGTGCTTTTCATGAAATTGAGCATGCCTGCTTGAAATTTAAGTGACTGTCCTGATGATCTGAAAGTGATTGTGAATTGTGATTTTTCTGTTAACTTCTACCTGTTTTGTCTCCGATATGGTCATGTTATTCGTGTGCCCGCTAGTGGGAGGTTTATAAACGCTAGCACATGTCGACATGTTATTGATAGAACCGATTCGTTCGAGTGACCCTGCTAGTGGGGGTTATACACCAGCAAATCGTGTGCCCACCAGTAGGAGGTTTATAAACGCTGGCCATGACCTATAGAGGAGACGTCTATTTCGTGCCCGTACTGTATCCGTTTTTCGTGATTGTACTTGTTGGCATGCTATAAGTTTAATTAAGGGCACTCCATATTTACTTACTGAGTTTATCTCATAGTTTTTCCTTGTCCACCATTTCAGGATGTGAAATCGAGGACGGGGAAACCACGGGAAGTGA